CCTGGTGTACGTGAGGTCGTGGGGTCGATCCTGACACAGCGCTCACACAGCACACACACACAGCACGCTCTATACAGACACACAGTGCACACGTAAAACACTGCACACACACATAGCACGCGTTATAAACTCGGGACCAGGGCCCGATTCAGGCCTACGCAGCGGTGAGGAGATGTGAACTCCCTTGCCAGGTATACAGGAGGTCGTGGGTTCGATCCCGACCCTGACGGGATTTGGAGTTTGTGTGTTCTCCCCGTGGTCGAGTGGATTTTTCTCCGGGTCCTCCGGTTTTTCCCACCACGTTTAGAAATAGGCATTTGGAGTATTTGGCTGCTGTAAATTTCCACATGGTAAACCACTTCGTTGTGCTATCATTTGTTACCAGGTCGCTTCTGAAAAAGAGCTATATAGCTCAGTGAGCCTTACCTGGTAAAATAAAAAATATACTTTAAAGTTCCTGTTCACCATTGTGCATCTGTACACGTGTAGAGTTCGTAAGGGTACACGGTTAGCATTGAGTGATGTGGGGGGATCACCAAGGTTGGCAAGGGAACACGTCCATAGATATTATTAAAGAGGGTTGCTGGCAAGGAAGGCGAGAAATAGAGGGGGTAGGGGATTGGGGGAAAACCCCAGACAGAAACTACATTAATTCCCCGGGTTGCGTTTCAGATGCGCTTCTGCGGCCGTCTGGAATGCTCTTCCATCCGATATTAATAAACCACTGGGAGCTGTGCACTTTTAAATCATTCAGATTGTCTAGAACTGCTTTTTGTGTTTAGTTTGTTGTCCTTCCACTCCCCCCCACCCCCGCACCTCCGATTAGTACGGTTGGCTATGTACGTTGCGAAAAAAGTTCAACATACATACGAAAGGAGCGACGTAAATCAAAGCGATTTACGATGGGATAGGTGGAGGCGAATGGTGAGAGGCGACGGATAATGAGAAAAGACAGGCGATGCTGTCAGCGACGTAAGTGTGGGGTTGAGGCTGATGCAAGTCGGCTAGCAGCATGAAAAACGAAGCGACGACGTATAGCTGCGAAACGACGTAAACGAGGGATACGTAAATCGGGGTATTGTCGTAGGTGATAGAAGAGGAGAGGGTACATAAGGGGGTGGGATACAACGCGAAGCGGCTCCAGGGAAGACAAAGGTTAGTCGCTATCAACAGTATCCGTGCCCTACACAGTGCCCGTGTTGGTGTTATTTGGAACAATAACCTTGCCTTACCAGCTGGGTATAACGTAGTGCAGTGCAACGACTGATCAACTCTAAGAGATGGGTCGCATTGCAGGGAACGTGGGTTCTATCCCGACCTTGATGCCTGCTGTATATTTGTAGTTTGCATGCACAGTTACTCTCCGTTGTGGTCGCGTGGATTTTTGTCTGGGTCCTCCGGTTTCCCCCTCCACATAATAGAATTAACGCGCGTTTAGATTACTTGGCTGATATAACTTTTCACACGATAAACAAGCCACCTCTTTGAGCTATTGTGTGAGGTTTATCCGATTTGCGTTTGGGGCCGTCCATAAATGACATCTCGCGATTTTTGACCCCCCTCCCCCCTTCGTCACACGGCGTCACAAAAAGTCAGACCTCCCTCAAATATGACGTCACAAAGCCCTGCCCCCCCCCCCCAAAATCATATTTCCATTTTGAAAATAAAACATGCTTCAAATCACTTTAAACTATTGTCATTGTAGTGCGTATATAATGTGGCGTTGCACTCTGATGTAGGAGAAAACATTAAAAAGGAGGCGTTGGGAAGCTGAAATTTAGCATAAAATTCATACTCTTTGGTTCTTTCAGTAAAGTCACGTAGGTGTAAAATAAAATTAACTTGAAAATATTCAACGTCTGACTAAAACTGCAGATGTTCAGAATATTATATTGAAATTATCTTATAATTAGAAAATATTAAAATTATAACTATAAAAAATACTTTAAACTTTGTACTAGAACGAAGCAAAATGGAGAGTACAATTATAACAATAACATATTCATTTCACAGAATGAAAAGCCCTGGTAGAATCATTAGAGTCAAAATGTTTAATAATAATCATTCAAAAAATGTACAAAATGTATGCTTCTACATTCTTCCATGGAGAAGCAAAATGCTCCTTCATGGAATAAATAAAAGGTGACCTTAGTACATTTAAATAATCAAATACAGTAGTTAATCATGAAAATTAATCAATTAGTATTGTTATAACAATTCTATTTAATTAAGATTTATTTAAAGTTGCGCATTTTTATGTGACGTCACATTTCTCAAACCTCCCCTCCCCCCCTTGTCACACATCGTCACAAATGTCTGACCCCCCTCGCCTAGGTGCGTGACGTCATTTATGGACGGCCCCTTATGAAAACACGTGCTAAGGGGGAACAGACTGTACGCGTACAACAATATAGTGTGAGTGTTGAGGTGCACACACTTGCAGCCCTTCGTCGAGCCATTGCCTTCCCAATACCGTGCAGCTCATGGGTGTTATTTGACCATACTTCGCCTCGCTGGCCATCACGTCATTGTTTATGTCTGTATAATACACTAGCGGGAAGTACCCGGCGTTGCCTGGGTCTTAAAAATATTTCAAAACTACTCTTAAAAATCTAATAGCAGTGCATACTGTGGTGGTATCTGCTATGTTTGCACATGCGAAAGTCAATGTAAGATGTTTTCTTGTTCATGTTTTTGTTTTTTTGTTTGTTGCGGTTGCACCCGATTCAAGAGCCGAATGGCTCACAGGGCTATACCAAATAAATGAAACTATGAATAACTATGATTACAGCAGTGCATACTGTGCCGAATGGCTCACAGGGCTATACCAAATAAATGAAACTATGAATAACTATGATTACAGCAGTGCATACTGTGGTGGTACCTGCTATGATTACAGCAGTGCATACCGACTGGTGGTACCTGCTATCACTACAGTAGTACATGCTGACTCTATATCAGTATTTATCGACTGTATAGCACAAAGTACTCACCTGACAGTGGCGTGGTGAGGCCTAGTCCCGTGCAGAGCCTCCGGCCTCGCCTAGATTGTCCAGCCGGCCGAGGTGGCACCTTGGCAGGCTGGGGCTGGGCTGCTATCCCTGACCCCCCCCCCCCCCTAGCCACGATCTCCCCGGCTGCTGTGCAGTAATATCTACGGCCTATAGTGGTAAGATCTAGCGACTGTATAGTAGCAATAACTGCACGCATCGGGTGGGGGGGACATCACACAGTGAAGAATTAACGTCCGCGTTTAGTGTATTTTTATAGCATTTTTTACGCGAAAGAAAATGTCCCCCTCCCACCGAAGGCTTGCGACTTGGCATGGGCCATCCTCCCCACCAAAGGTGCGTGAGTTGGTATGGTCGTGCACGCGTCGTAAATAAATAAAAGGGAAGCGCACAAAATCGCACAAGATCGCTAATTAAACTAATTTAAAGTTGACGGATGTGAAAAAGGAATAGCGCTTGCTCATGGCGGGGCTTACGGCGTGGTACTTGGCTATTTTTATTTTACGTAAACCCCACCGTTGGAGAGCCAAGCGCACGACCACAGACAAACCCACACACAAACCCCGCCACAAACTCACACACAAATTTTGACATATATATAGATAGCGTGCACCACTCCATGTGCGCTACAGAGTGTGTGACCATACATGTATATAGAGCAGTGGCTCTCAACCTGGGACCTTTTTGCCAGTATCAAAGTCTGGTCTGACACTGGTGAGACTAGGCCTTAAACCAGACTGTCTCTAGTGTAGGCCAATCAATTTCAAAGACAATGCATATGTAGTGCCATTGTTAGTCTGTATGTATATTCACCATTGACCCTTACCTACAGTAGCAGACGTGTAAACAGGGGGTGGTAGACAGGCTAGGTGGGATGAGTCGGGCCCTTGGGCCACCAGGGACCCCAGACCCCAAGAGGGGGGCTGGGGGGATGCCATCATGTTCCAGAGCCCCCTAGAGAGTTCCAGAAGGAAGGTGTGGCTAGGGGTGGCGATACTCTGGAGCGAGTATAAAAGCCGGACCCCTGAACGGGTCCGGCAGTCCTCGTCCACCTGAAGACCCGGAGAGCCACCCTGAAGACCTGAAGAGAAGAGCCCAGTGGGCAGAACCCGAACCCCTGGCTAGGGTTGGGTTCAGAACATAACCAGTGTAGGGTTAGCGCTATAACCAGAGCAAGGGTACGTTAGTCCGGAGGGGCTACCTCCTTAGGGTATCGGGTGTAAGGGGCCCTTTGTGTTATGTACCTGTTGTTACAATAAATCTGTTGCCCCTAAAGAACCGTCTCTCCTCGTATTGGACCCACTACACATGTATTATTATCAGAACATATTTGTTTGCGTTTGGTCAATGCAGACATGATTCCTTGCAAAGTTTATATATTTTTGAACATTTTAACATCTGTTTTATTGCCTGAAAGTGTAAAACCTATTCTTATTTTATCATGGTTCTCAACCTGTTTTGGCTACTAATGTGTTACCCCTCTTGTTAAATTTTGTTTTAACCGAGTAACCACCATTGCCTGACCCAACGTGGTTCTGAGAAATAAATATATGAATAATGAATATGAATATTTTAACCAATTGTCCATTTTGTGAGGTATCCTAACTAGCTGCTAGTAATTGCAAGGTAATAAACAAAAATACACGCTTGCTGGTTACTTGAATAGAGGGTTTTTTTTGCTGGTTACTCTTAGAAACCGAATTGTTTCCGATCACTGAGTTCAGAGAGGTATTTTTTATCGTTCAAGGTTACCATGTAGTTATTTTATATCGGAAGGTTCGTACATGATTATTCACCAATGTCTCATGATATTAATTTCACGCATGTACAAATCACCTCACCTACCCCCTGGGACATTGCTACGTACCTCCAGGGGTCCGTGTTACCCCCGGTTGAAAACCACCATTATAGTGTGTATGACGAGTAAACTAAAGTCTCCATAGATGTACATTCCACTACATTGATAACAACCTCCTTGCTCTCTCCTAGGTCGACTCAGCCACAAACCCTCTCTTGTGGGTTTCAGATGCACGGGCGGGCGCCGCGCGTGACGTCACTCCCCGCGGGGGGCACAGCCCCCACCCTCGGGCCCGGCAGCTATGACATCACAAAGGGGTGCCCTTCACGTGGTGAGGATGTGTCAGGGGGGGTGGGTGGCGACGTTCGTCAAGTTGCTGTTCCTACGATCGACCGGCGATGTCTGCTTCGTGTTATCTTTTCAAGCCTGCGAAATTGCGGCTCTGAGTTGCCTTATAGCAGGCTGCTGTGTCCGTTGGTTGACGTCCAGACCTGACTATTTGGGCGGTTGTTGTGAAGTGTGTGTTGTAGAAGTGATTGCAATACACAACTTGAAACGTTAAGCTATAAATTAAATAAAAAACATGTTTAATTGTAGGTTAATAGACTGTGTGGTGGCCGATCTAGTTGGCTGTTATAGTTGTTGATTTGTCCTCGAATCAAGAGTCCCAGTTCCGTAGTTGTCAGTGATTGGAGTGATTGTTGTTTTGTCTGTGGGGCAATGTGGTTGTGCCCACGTTTCTCGTTTCCTGTCTCACAGGGGAAGAGAGAGAGGAAAATTGGGGCAATTCAGATAATGGCTGAACCTCGCTAAGGCTCCTATCTATAGAAATGGATTCTGAGCGCAGCCACGGTTAACGAGGTGACCTAACACTAACGCATCATTTAAATTGGACCCAAGGTGAAAAGCAGAGTTTATTTTACAGCGACTGTGCTACGAACCTGGCAACCCGAGTTCGATTCCCGCCCGCGGCCACCAATGCCTGTGATTATTATCTGAACCGGTCCTGGGCCTCTCCTAGGTTTAATCAGCCACAAATGAGTATCCGGTGCAGTGTGCAAACATCACCGCTAGGGAGACAAAGGTGGCCGGGCGTGGTGCTGGCCGCCCAGCCCCTCGTATGCCTTTCCGGCCTTAATAGGTGCTCGCTAACAGTACTTGCCCCAACAGTTTGTGAAGGCTATACGGGGGATCTTTGTATTTGGTTGTTGTAGAGGGTGCATTTGTTGTTGTAAAGGTGTGGTTATTGTTGAAGAAGGTGTGGTCGTTTTTTGTCGTTTTTTTATCAGATCCGGGATTTGCTCCATTCCTGTCTCTGACATCACGTGACCCCGTGACCCCACGTGATTTGCTCTCCCGACCTGGGCCTGGACACTACAACCTCCATTGCGCTCAGGTCGTGCGGTTAAGGTTTAAAGGTTTAATCCAACAATTCATGGGTAGAGACGAATGTTATACTGTACTTGGAATTAAACTGCCAAGTATGATATGTTGCAGTATGATTTGTTTGATGCATAGAGCCAGTACCGTTTGTGTTGGGTAGTACAATGCCACATTGGTAGTTTTTAAGTTATTTCCGACATTGACTACCTATGTGTTTGTCATCACGCGGTAATTAAGTAAAAGTTAAGCAGAGTTCCAGACTGTTGACATATGACAATGGGTTCTTTTTCAGATTAAATAAAGTTTCGAATTAATGACTTGCACGGGACTCAGGTCACAAACTTGCTTGCGAGGACATAAGTGTTTGTGGAAATGCAGCACCATAGAGGATTGATGGACTGCCATAGTACCAATGTACCTACCCAGGTACCATAGACTCAATCATTGAGGTCACTATCATTAGCTCACTAATAAGGCTGTTTCAAAAATGTCAGCGTGATATCATTGTCATGGTGTCTTTAGTTTACAATTACATTGCCACACATTGTCTGGACAGGGCAGGTCATGAATCCGCAGATGGTAAATGTTAATAGGTGAATCGATCAGGGCATTCATGAGTTCAATGGATCGTGTGTGTGTGTGCAGAAGTGGCAGGGTCGAGGGGATGGAGCCTTCGGGAGCCATTCACAGCGCTTTATTCATCAAGTCAGCGATGGACCTGGGCCAGGACAATATGAGGTCACGACCCAAGAGCCTGATCACGTGACCAAGCCGGTGAGGAGGAGGGGGACATGGGGAGGAGGAGGAGGAAAACACACGGGGGAGAAAGATGGAGACATAAGCAGGACAGAAACATTGGGTGGAGGGAAACAAAGAGGACGACGGAAATGCAGGGATAAGGGAGACATGGAGTGGAGGACATGACACAGGAGGAAGAGGAGGAGTGGGAGAAGGGATATAAGCACAGACATGGTGCGGTGGAGGGGGGTGACGGGGAAGGAGGCACAGGGAAGAGGCACGAAGACATGGGGGACTGGAAGGGGAGGGAGGCATTGCTCATGTTGTGTGATCGGTGATGTACGTATGTGTTGAACTTCTTTCACACAGTACGTAGCCAACCATGCTAATTGGAAGCGATGTCGTTATGTTTGTAGGTGGTGGGGGCAGCCCCCCACCCCCCCCGCCCCCATGCCCCTCCCTCCATTCCCTGCCCCTTTCAGAGTCACGGCTACCGGGAGTCAAACACTGCCAGGGGACTCGAAGCGATTGCGGCACCAGAGACCGATAGCAGTCTGGGACCGGCCTTCTACTGCCCTCAAGTAAACAGCAACAACAAAAACAATGACAAGTATCCCTCAAAAGCCAAACGACACATCACGTCCAGCTATACTGATATTACTTTGGTCCCTTTCTTCTTATCCACTCATCATTGCTAATTATGTTATTAGTTTCTGTATTTGCCTTTTTCTGTTTCTTCCGAAAAATGTAATAAAATATAAAATAAAATAACTTTATCAAATCCCTTGGTCCCACAAGGCCATGCGGAAGGGCACAATTTTGTGCCAGCTATACTCGAGTGCGGTCGTGTCACTACAGTTCTATTCCACGAGTACAATGTCTTTAAAAACAACGGCACTATGCCTCTCTAAATTATATTAATGCTGAGCCGCTTGCCCGTTCCGAGATTCAGCGGAGAAGGGAACACCCACCCGGCAACTTGCAGACGTCTCGGATGGAAAAAATTTAAGAATCCATTGAATCTCCTCTTCTTGATTTTCCAATCACTGCTCCATTCATTGTTTCATCACCCACCCCTTTGGTGACAAAAATTTAAGAATCCATTGAATGTCCTCTTCTCGATTCTCCAATCACTGCTCCATTCATTGTTTCATCACCCATCCCTTTGGTGACAGACAATATCCAATTAATAACTCTCAACACCATTTTACCTGCCACTTTTAGCGCCCATCATCTCGCATGATTTCGTTTCTCCCTACCAACCCAACTCCTTCCAGGTCCCCACACCTCCTTCGTATGTATGGATGTTAAACGTCTTTTTCACCGTATGTAGCCAACCGTGCTAATTGGAGGTGTGGGGGGAGGACAACAAACTAAACACAAAAAGCAGTTCTAAAGAAATTAGTTTTAAATCAAGATTTAAAAGTGCATAGCTCCAGTGGCTTCATAATATCGGAAGGAAGAGCATTCCAGACGGCCGCAGAAGCACATCTGAAAGCGCCGTGATGCAGTGATCGTCTTTGTTCGATGGCTTCTGCCTCACCAGGTGGATATCTCCTTCAAGTTTAAGTTCCCACATCCATTTGACTCTTGTTTTAAGATCATTGACTGATAGACTTCAGTGACTGATGTTGCTCTAATGAAGGCGTGTACTACTTCGAGAACTTATTTTCCCTCCTGGTTCTGTACAGCTTTCCATGAACAAAATGATTGGCCACAGACAACGAGAGAATGAAAAATAAATTGGCCCTAGAGAATCACTATGAGATCTCGAAATCTCACATATTACTTGACAGGTTTGCTCTTCCGAGGTCCATGTTGTATTCTACTCGACTGATTTATAATGTTTCTACATGGACTCGCTCCTACCTACAGATCCCCTCTGATCTTGCTCTACTACCCTCCATATACGCTTCACTCTGGTGTGCTATGGTGGCGAGATGTTGAATATCTTACCTGGTATGCATGAGGTCGTGGGTTTGGTTGCCACCCAGGCGCCTGTATATTTAATGTTTGCATGTTTGGAATGCTCTTAAGTTCCGATGTTAGGAACCCACCGGAGCTATGCAATTTGAAATCTAGATTTAAAATTAATTTATTTAGAAATTATTTAGGTGTTTAGTTTGTTGCCCTTCCCCTGAACCTCCAATTATAATGGTTTGGCTACGTATAGTGTGAAAGAAGTTCAACATACGTACATATATATACATATTTTCCCCGTGGTCGGGTTTATTTTTTTCTGGGTCCCCTATTTTTTTCTGTCCGCAATTAAAATGAACATGTACAGTAAGCAACTTCGTTGAGCTAGCATTTGTCGCCAGGTTGCTTCTGATAAAGAGCTACGTAGCTCAGTGGGCCTTACCTCGTGAAAAAAATATATAGTTTTACAGTTTCTGGCAAATTTCTCAACCAACTTACTGTCAATGGGAGTACATTCCTTCTGCTGCCTTTGTGCTCTGGAATTCCTTCTTCCCACGAATGTTGAACTGTTGTTGTTGCTGCTGCTCCATAATAGAGGTTTTTGGGTTAGAGTATGTAGCTGTCTGCCTGATGATGCTGGTTGTAATTACTGCTGAAACGTCGTACTTGAATTGTAAATGTTGTGGGGTTACTCTCCAACACACCGGTGTGGTGAATTAGTAACGAACTGGCATGTTACTTTAAGTAACAAAAAAATACGAATTGGCTGTCGGGTGCTGGTGGGCTTAACGACACATTTATATTTACACGATCTCACCCAAAAACCTCTATTATGTATAATATTGGTCGCGAAAGCCTACGTGTTGCCGCTGATGCTGTTTTTGTTATTGCAGGTAGTGGAGGTCATTCGTGGTTGTGCCCCATTTGCCCGGTCTTGTTCGGCACGATTCTCTTTCAAGGCAAGAGAAGGGCCTGGACCTGGACAATATGAGCCCCACAGGTGCCACCAAACTTACAGCCATTCAGAACGAACCGGTCAAACCAGCAATCACAATGGCAAAAAAACAGACCATAAAAACCACAAAAAATATACGCATTCGACTTATAAACTCGAACATTCGACTTACAAACTTTCAGAGATACAAACAAACCTGTCCGTATGTCCAGTTGCCTATAATGACGAATACACTTCTTATGAGGCACACTCTGTTTATTGTAATACTGCTCTTACACAGTCCTTAACACACAGAGGGGTATACGGTCCCCTCACCCGATACCCTAAGAAGGTACAGCCTCCGGACTTAGCGTGACCTACACACAGGTCTCTTCCTAACTTAAGGAGGTACAGCCTCCTATCTTGGCGGGGCTTACTCACACGTCTACCACTATCCTAGAGTCCTCCGGCTGGGACCTAGGGGAGGCTATCTGACCCACCGCTGGCCCGGCGGGTCTTGACCACTGGATGCGCCGAGCCTTAGCCCTCAGAAGGGCTGGAAGGCTGGGTCCAGGGTCCTGGCTATCTTCAGCCCGGGCTTCGGTCTTCGTGTAGGGAGAGAACTCCCCGCGCTCTGCGCGGTCACCCTTCTTATACCCGTTTGTGGCCAGGTGTAACCAATCCCACATTCCCACATGGAACTGTCTGATTGGTTCTTACCAAACTGTGGCTATGATCCACTTCACCTCGTCTGACCCCAACCGTTATGTACATAGAGGTAACGCTGCACTGCCCCTTTGATACCTAGTGGCAATGCAGGTACCGAACAGTGAGTAGTTAACACCTCTACACCTGTTCGGACTGAGAGTCGTAAGTTGAACCACCGTGCAATAGATGGCGGTGGTGGAATCTACATCTGCAGAACGCACATAACCAGTGGCATCTACATCTACAGGAGATTATACAACTTTTAAACCAATTCCCCGTGTTTAGTATACATGCTGTACAACATGTTTGGAATCAACAAGAGTAAAGTTGAACTTACGAACATATTAAACTTACGACCAGACCTCTGGAACCGAACTCGTTTGTAAGTAGAGGAGTCCTATATTCACAACTTACAAAAACAATTACAACAACGAAACAACCACAACAATTAACACCACAGCTAAATAATGTAAACATAAATGTACGTTGAACTTTATACACACCGTACATAGCCAACCGTGATAATCGGATGTGCAGAAAATAAATATGACTTTATGACTCGCAATAGGTATCTATTTGGTGTTTGAACATCTTTGCACCTCCTGTTTTATTTACGGAAAGGGTAAAGCCTATTTATTTTTTTCAGCATTTTGGTACTAGTAAAAAGGGTACCATATATCGTATAAATTAGAAATGCACGTAAAGTAAAACCCCAGCTAGCTGGACGTGGCATACCAGAAATCTGCATTGAGCTGCACTGGGATTGGTTAATCAAAAATATTCACTGCTGAATTTCAGAACTCGAACACGGTTAGGGTTAATTTTATTTAGAGAGGCATAACGCCGTAGTTTTAAAAGACGTAGTCACCGCAGAGAACCGTAGTGACACGACCGCCACACTCTATGATAGCTGGCACCAAACTGTGCTACACACCCTCCTGCATGGCCTTGTGGGAGCCTGGGTACCGATAAAGTTATTTCATTTCAGTGTACGTACACGTACGTACACGTACGTCATCTGAATTGGAAAGGGTTAAGCTGCCTGATGTGATTCTGGCTGCCGCCTGATGATGCTGGTTGTACTTACTGGCAAAACGTCATATTCGTATAGTAAATATTGTGGGTTTACTCTCCAACACACCGGTGTGCTGAACTAGTAACGAACTGGAATGTCTTTTTTAAGTGACAAATCTTACTAATTGGTTGTGTCGGGTGCTGGCAGGTTTAACGACACATTTATATCTACGCGATCTAACCCCAAAAGACACCTCTTATGCCTTATGTGACTCCGCTGGTCGCAGGGTGCAGGTGCCAAGGCCTCTGAACGTGAATGTCGTGAATCAGGTGGGCGAAGGGAGACGAGTTCTCTTTGTGAATCAGCAGCAGAGTCTGCACCAAGTCATGCCGGTAAGCAACTCTATTTGGGTTCATGTTGGCCAGGTGGCGCTTTCCTCTGTACTGTTTGTGTCTCTTTTTTGTCTCACTTATATTGTTTTCTAATGTGTTTTGTCTCAATGTTTCTGTCTCAGTTTTACTTTTTTTGTATGTTTTTAGATCTTGTGTGTAATATCATGAGTTATGTCCCTTGCTGTACTGTCTTTATTGTTCTCTTTTGTTTGTGTTTCTAGGTCTTAATGGTTTTATTACCTTGTTTCTCACTGATTCTGTATCATATGTACCATCTCATGCTTACACTATGAATCATATTGGTTGTAAAAACCTACGTGTTAAGTGTTCACAACGAATGTGAGTTTGTCTTTATTTGCACCCCACACCTCCGATTAGCACGGTTGGCTACGTATTGTGCGAAAGAAGTTCAACATACATATATTTGTACTATATGACTGATTAATAATGTTCGACTCTTTGTTTACTTAATGTGCATGGGCCTGAGTACAGGAAAAGTACATTAAACCTATGTAGCGGGCTGCCTGCTCAGCTGCCGGACCCTAATAACCAAGCATTTATTTTTTGGTTTGGGCGTGGAGTTCTAACCCGAACAAATCAAATTTTTTATTGAGAACTGCTTTTTGTGTTTAGTTTGTTGTCCTTCTCCCGCACCTCCGATTATTGCGGATGGCTACGTATGGTGCGAAAGAACTTCGACATACGTACACAGAAACCTCGCACATGCAGAAACTCGTTTTAAAACGTTATTTTAAATTAAAAAGTTAACAAAAATGTAACCTCACCCATAATATAACCTAACACTGTGCTATTACTGCATGTGCTCGCCAGAGGACATGACGTTACCATACATCAGTGGTTCTTCACAAATGTTCAGAGGGGGGCCACTTTCGCCTATAAGACATCATCAGTGTGAGGGCCACCACACATTTTAAGCCATTGGGGGTTTGACAGCAGCACGATGATGGTGGGGGGTGTTCTCACCATTTGTGTATTGTTGGGGGTACGTACGTCAGGAGCCGCACTAAAGGCCACCAGGGGCCGCTAATGACCCGTGGGGTCTTGCAATAAAGAACGCCGATTTGGTGAGGGGAAGGTGATCTCGTGTGGGAGAGAGGTAGATATTTCTTGAGCGAGTTTTGCACAGGTAGCTGGCTACCAGCTTTGAGTTAGTCGTTCAGTACACGGGCCCCAAGGTTGTGTGTATGATGGCCAGGCCATATTCGTGATAGCTGCGCTTCGGTTAATCGTGGATGTTGTTTTGTGCGCTTACGCAGCGGCATTCTCCAGGACCCGGGAGCTATGACATATGCGAAAATTTATATCGGAGCAGATCTAGTGGTGGGACGGCATCTTTCCTCTCTCACACCAAGGTAAGGACAGAAAAGAAAACAAATATTCGTGACCAAACAAAGACTTTGTAAAAACACCTGCAATGGGTAACACTTGTGCAGTTAAAACTACAACCACATCGGGTTAAGTAAGACGATGGAAAACGTACGGTTTCTGTTGAGTTGTGTTGTTGAGCTGTGCTTTGTGTATCTTTCGGTAGTTGTAGTCGCGCAGCGCTTGGTGGTGGTGGTTGTTGAAGTTGGGGTTGTGGTTCTAATGGTTGTGCTGGAATACCTCGATATGGGAAGTTTAAGTATAACGAACTTTAGATTCATTACCGTTATTTTAATGGAAAAAGGTAATATAATAAATAACTTTCATCAATATTGAATTTGTTGGTCTCTAGTACAATATAAATGAGAATAAAATTATGTTTTTTCACTTAGTTAATTGTATTAATGTCTGTTTTTTTATTTTAATACCGTACAGTATAACTAATGTGTTATTTTCAATCTAAATTGTCTTTGTTTTCAATATGAATGGTAAGTTCTAAAATGTTTATTCGTGTAGTTTTAAATATTAAGGTATGAAGGCTGGGAACGCATCCTCGTCCTACTAATGTTATACATTACTCAATATATGAAGTTTCAAAATATGAATGAAGCTCCATGAACGCATTTACTTCGTATATCGAGGTATTACTGCCGTTGTTGTGGCTTTTGTTGTAATTGATGTATGTGTAATGACAGGGTGCCACCTGTTGGCCAGGAGGGGTAATCAAGGGTATGGGCGTGTTATATAATGACAAACTAGAAGGGGGTGTATCTGGGTTAAAGATAAAAGATGGGGTCAGTCAGGAAGCTCTGGGAACCTCGAAGGTTCTAGAAGGGGGCGTGGCCGGAGGCGGGGCCTGGTCACGCTGGGAAGTATATAGGGGGGACGGAACCGAAGGTTCGGGGCTGTCGCGGGGTCCCGGGTCCTGGCTGCGTCGCTGCTCGCTGTAATCTCTCTTCGTCGTCCGGTCGCATGGCCAATCTTCTGCACGACACCCGTCGTCGTCATTGCTACATTAGTCAGCCAGCTATGTAGTTAGACGCCGACGATGGGGCTGTGTTGAAAGGTCGGCTGTGTGTAGCTATGTAGATACGTTTCTATATATTGCCCAGTGTTGGTGCTCAAGTGTAAGAAATAAATAAGAAGCCCTCTACACGTTGTGTCTCGGAAGTCGCTCCTTACATGTGTATGTACAGTATCTGAACTTCTTTCGCACCGTACGTAGAAAACTGTGCTATTCGGAGGTGCGGGGGAAGACAACAAACTAAGCACAAAAAGCAGTTCCAAGCAAATGAGTTTTCAATCTGGATGATTTCAAAGTGCACAGCTCCAGTGGCTCCCTAATATCGGAAAGGAAGAGCATTCCAGAAAACTGTAGATGCTCATCTGAAAGCACGCGACGCAGTGACCATCTTTGTGTGATGGTTGGCCAAAAGTCACCTCTGCGTGGATGATGGGAGTTCACACGATGGTTGTTGAGGTAGTTGTGGTTAATGCTGTAAAGGTTGATGTCATGTTAGTTGTTCAAGGTTGTGGTTGTTGCTGTCGTTTTAATAAATGGTCCTTGTCATGTTTGTAGCTGTGGTAGTAGTCATGGTTGTGGTTGATGTTGTTGCGATAGTTGTCATGTCAGTTGTTTTAATAGTAGGCCTCGTAGAAGTTGTGGTAGTTGCTACAAGTAGTAATTGCTTTTCTTGTAGTAATTGTGGTTGTAGGGAAAGGGAGGTCTGTACCACCCTACTCAACACGCTGTCACCACGACCCTCACCAGAACAAGTTGACTGAGAAATGAACGAACAAAATTGTGGTTGTGTTTGTTGGAGTTGCTGTGGCCATTATAGTTGTTGTGTTTGTATTTGCAGTAGCAGTGGTTGTTGCAGTTGTTACAGTGGTTGTGGTGCTGTAGTTGTGGATGTAGTAGTTGCTGTAGTTGTGATCGCTGGTGTGGGTGTTGTAGGTGTTGTTGTAGTAGTGGTAGTTATGGTTGTAATCGTGGTTGTTTGTTGTGGTTGTGGTAGTTTTAGTCGTCAAGGTTGCATTGTGGTTAGAGTAAATTGTAATGGTAGTGGCAGTTCTGGTAGTTGTGCTTGTATGAGTTGTGGATGTTGGGTTCGATTCCCGCTCACGGTCAACACCAGTGATGATTTTTTGAACTGGTCCTGGGCCTCTCAGAGGTCGACTCAGTCTCAAATCAGTGCGCTGAGTAAACATCACCACTCGGGAGACAAAGGCGGCCGGGGGTGGTGTTGGCCACCCACCCCCTCGTGTGCTGTGCTGGCCTTCATCGGTCCTCCCTAACAGTACTTGCCCCAACAGTCTGTTAAAGCTATATGGGGGGATTTTTGTCTTTGTCTTGTAGTGATTGTGGGGAGCGGTAGTGTAGCGGTTACCACGCTGCGCTACGAACCAGGCGACCCGAGTTCGATTCCCGCTCACGGCCAATACCAGCGACTATTATCTGAACTGGTTCTCGGCCTCCCCTAGGTCGACTCAGCCTGAAATGAGTACCTGGTGTGGTGTGTAAACATCGCCACTGGGGAGACAAAGGCGGTCGGGGGTGGTGCTCGCTATCCACCCCTCGTGTGCCATGCAGGCCTTCATTGGTGCTCGCTAACACCACTTGGTTATACTGCAGATCTTTGTCTCTTGTTGTTGCAGTTGCTGTGGTTAAAATTGTTATAGAAATGTATATAGTAATTGTAACGGTCGCAGTTGTAGTAGTGGTGGATATTGTTATTGTTGTTGCAGTGGTTGTGGTTGTTGTGGTTGTTGTTGTAGAGGTTCACAAGTCGTGTGAGCTCCAGTCCCAGCCCTGCCTCCTACTCCGTCATCACGGAAACCAGAGCTGTCACTGCAGCAACCAAGTCGGCCCCATTTAGCCAATCGGGGGCGAGGTTCCAACAATCACAGCAACAAACACCAGGTAACAACAACAACAACGACGACCAGACAGCCACAACAATACCGAATCAAAACACTAAAACACCACAACTGTAACACTCAAACATTAATAATGCCACAGCAGCAAAAAGCAACACCGTGACACTGCAAGCACAACAGAGACCAAACAGCAACATTCGTTCAGTCGTGGCCTTTAAAATAGAGGTATCAATCTTGACTTAAAGCTTTCATGACTGCAGGAATTCATATTCTTTGGGTAAAGTCACGAAAAGAGTTTTTTTTGTTTAACCTATCTACGTGACTTTACTGAAAGACCCAAAGAATTGAGGTATCACTCAGTGACACATTTAGGAACCACCTCGACGTTAATTATGCAGAAACAAAATCCTCAGACACCTGCTCAATGCGATTCACCCGCAATAACCAGGCACCAACCCATGCAATCGGCAAAGATGCAACATGCATACTTTCACTTCAACCGATACACAGATCAAAACGTCCATCTTATGTGACCACCATATGTACGTATGTTGAACTTCTTTCACACCGTACATAGCCAACAGTGCTAATAGGAGTTACGGGGAAAGGACAATAAACTTAAGACCACCCCCGCCTCTGATCTCGAATCCGGATGGGGTTCAACAATGATGACGTCATCCTGCACTATTTAAGACCGGAAGCAGGTGGATGGCTTCACTAATCTGGCAAATCGCCCGTAGATGCTGGATGTAATTTCCAGCGAAACGTCGTACTCAAGTTTTTAATGTTGTGGATCCACTCTTCAACACACCGGTGGGCTAAAGTTGTCAACGTGACACTTTGTTTACTGATTGTCCGTGTCGGGTGTGGAGGGTTGCAGCACATTTATAACTAACGCGATCTAACCCAAAAACCTTTATTATGAATAAACACAAAAAACTATAGGTCTATATGAACCTCCACAAATCTGGTTTATTGCAGTGCGTGCCTCGGCGCTAGATTTGTCTAACATTTTTCTGTCAACTCTGCGGCGTAAATTATGTCCAAATCAGTGATTCGTCACTTCAAGAGCGTCGGCCATAGCCCCAGTGGATGTTGGCGAGTGGCCTTGGTAATGTACCATGGAATTATGCGGCTCGAGAGGATACAGAGCTGAGTGGACCAGCCAATGATGACCAGTACCAGCAGTGTCAAGATCGGCCTATGGATAGTTGCCTCATGAAGGATGCTCCTGGGCATTTGGAGGCAGTCTCCCTCCAGCAATAATGGAAGGCAGAGGAGCAATGCTCACTACAACGAGCGGAGCGCCGGGCGGCTAAAACACAGAAAGTTGGCACAGTTCGGGGCACAGGTTGTGCATTTGTCAGTCATCTCAGTCAATCCATGGCACCTGGGTCTGTCCCGTGACCTCCTGCCAGCAGGCGTTCGATGCTTCACGTGGCCTTAAAGCGCACATAGCCTGGCACAAGCGCCGTGGTCATGTCACCGCCACGTAGTGGCGAATTACGGTTGTTGTTAGTAATGTGTGTATACATCTAACCGTGTGTGTTATGACAGGCATGTATGTAGCCCATACGATGCGTGAGCAAATGTACTTATGTTTGTTGAATTTCTTTCACCTACATAAATATAAGCATATATCTATATGGGTGCATACGTGTGAAAGGATACGTATACCTACTATAATCACCCAGGAATGTCCTTAATGCTCGTGACGTCACTCCACATAGATCAGCCCCCCTCATTAATATTCATGAGCAAGTGACATCCTCCAAATGGACACCCCCCCACCCCTCATTAATAATCATGAATGGGTGACGTCACTCAATATGGAGTACTCCCCCCCCCCCTCATCATGCGCACATTACGTCACTCCACGTCGACCAGCACCCCTAATTAATAATCATGAACAGGTTACGTCCTCCACATGGACCCCCCCTCATTAATAATCATGAGCAGGTGACGTCATTCCAAATGGAGCACCCTCCCCCCTCACTAATAATCATGACCAGGTGACGTCACTCCATATCGAACAGCCCCCCTCATTAAAATCGTTATAAGGTGACGTCCTCCAAATGGACACCCCCCCCCCCCATTCATTCATCATAATTAGCGGCTGACGTCACTCCACATGGGGGGCCTCACTACAAAGGCAGAACTTCTAGATTTGAAGCTTTCGTGACTGCAAGGATTCACACTCTTTGGTTCTATTCGGTAAAGTCACGTAAAAAAACAACAACAACATAAACAATTCACGACGTTTCGGCCACAACACAAGTGGCCTTCATCAGGTGAAGGGAGCAGACTGAGGACAGCGCTGGAGTGAACACAGCCAAGCTCAGACCGCGACCTTTAAGCTATATGAGAGGAAGCAGTATGATGACAATCATTTCTTCGACGTTCTTCGACGTTCAAATGAGTAATCACTGTATAAACATACTAAAAATATCTTAAAGATTTCAAGATTGTCCCCATAAAGTATATAACATTATGAATATCCCAAAAATATTGAGTAAACAAATGTCACAGGTTCTGGAAAGATACCAGAAGGTCTCACAAAGATCTACATTTTGTTTTAAGATACCATAGTTGCTGAAAGTTAATTTCAATGTTGAAAAATAAAAAAATATTTTTTAAAAAAATCTATGAAGGATTCTACAAATATCCAAAAATATAGCTAAAAGATCACGATACACTATGCAAAGATTTGTAAAACATAACAGTGAATGTGCAAACGATCCAGTTGTTCCTGCAGAGGAACAACAAACGATCCAGTTGTTTAGGAACAACTGCAGAGGAACAACTACAATTTCACATTCAGTTGGTCAAGCCAGATAACCGCGTCAGGAGTAGCGGAGTGTATATTGTATTTGCGGATCGGGGCATTGCATCGTTATACGTTGTATGGTGTGTTCTAGATGACCACAGTCGCACACTACTGGAGAGTTTTTAATTTTCAATTTGTGCATCAGGTGACTGCATCTGTTGCTGTTGCAGTCATTGATCCGTTGAGTTCATGAGTTGTTTAAAAATCACAATAAGTACTTAAGACTGGAGGAATCCGATGAGCTATGAAGCTATTTTTCACAGATGTCTAGTAGGGGGCGGGTCAGAAAGTTATAACAACAAACAATACAAACACTGATAGGAGTGCAACATATAGCAAACGTGTGGAAATATGTTGACGTATCGTTGTATTTGTTGTTGTTATTGTTCATGTTTTTTTCATTTTGTTGTTGCCAGGCCCCGGCTCATACCAGTTATCACCATCGCTGGGGACAAGCGTGGTTTCCATGGCGACAGCCTTCGGCTCCTCGGCCCCTCGACCAATGAGAGAGCAGTCACTGTCACAGTCACATGACCCTGGGCCAGCACACTATAACGTGACTAACCCCACCCCACACAGAAGTTCCTCACAGACATACAGTACCCGGGCGTTTACAAACTAAAGTGCCTCTGTGGTAGCAGCTACATTGGAGAAACCAAACGACATATCTCGGACCGCATCCGCGAACATAAAGCAGACTTGAAACACGGGAGGACGAACTCCTCTGCCGTGGCAGATCACTGTTATAATTCAGTGGGCTCACATGACATTGACTTCTCCAAGACGGAGGTTATTTGCAAGCCAACCGGCTACCATGAGAGATTCGTTCATGAGGCCATCCACATATACAAGCACAGAGACAATTTCAACCGAGAAGATGGATTCTGGCTTAGTAACCATTGGAAAGATGTTTTAAACCATTTCGGTTCTTAATTAATTGTATTTTACGGTGACCTTCAGACCGCAGCCCTTTCGCTGGCATTGCCTCTTAATACCTCTCACACCACGGTTAATGGTATGGTTTATAACGTGGAGTATAACAGCACATCGTGGCTGTTTCTCCCACCTCCTCCGTTCCAAGCATAGATGAACTCGTCCGTCTGAACAAAGCTCATCGCTGTCCGTGGTGCTAACGTTGAAAAGAAAAAAAACGGCACCCATTTTTTCGCCATATGGCATTGTAATGTATAACGACTTATTGTTAGTAGCTCAGCTGATTGGAGAGTATATAGAGTTTATTGATAACATTGATGTAGTTTATATTTTAGTTTTTTTTTAGTTTACTATATGGTATTCAATATATATATTGAGTACATTTATTATATTGATGTAGTTTATACTTAGTTTCTTCACATCGATTTACTGTATGATAGTTGGGTAGTTGCAGTCCTTTAGCGTCCATATACTAAATGCTTCTGTTGATATGTAAACTTTGACTTTAACATAGCTATTTCCGTGACCAGTCACATGCTAATCCCTCACATTAACATCATGCTAATCTCCCAGTTACATGCTAATTTCTGACTTTAACACCCTGCTGATCCAACACTTTAACACAGCTATTTCAATGCTAAATTCTCCTGTTTGATATGTAAACTCCTTTGTCAAGGCGCTGTACCTCTCCCACCTAGCCTAAAAGACGCTGCAAATCTTAGCAGCGTTCATTGAAGCGCTCAGCTATTGGAGAGTATATAGAGTTTATTGATAACATTGATGTTTATATTTTAGTTTTTTATTAGTTTACTATATGGTATTCATTATATAGTGCAGTGTATACCCAGTTACTTTATGTTTATAGCTCAACTTATTGAAGAATATAGAGTACATTTATTATATTGATGTAGTTTATACTTAGTTTCTTCACATCGGTTTACTGTATGATGGTTGGGTAGTTGCAGTCCTTTAGCGTCCATATACAAAATGCCTCTGTTGATATGTAAACTTTGACTTTAACATAGCTATTTCCGTGACCAGTCACATGCTAATCCCTCACATTAACAGCATGCTAATCTCCCAGTTACATGCTAATTCCTGACTTTATCACCCTGCTGATCCAACACTTTATCACAGCTATTTCAATGCTCAATTATCCTGTTTGATATGTAAACTCCTTTGTCTAGGCGCTTTACTTCTCCCACCTAGCTTAAAAGACGCTGCGAATCTTAGCAGCGTTCATTGAAGCGCTGTCGTCCCAACAGTTCTGTTCTTTCACCTGAAGAAGGCTACTTGTGTTGTGGCCGAAATGTCGTGAGAATTTTATCGTCTTATTTTGTTTTATTGTTTTATTCTCATTCTACGTGGCTTTACCGAAAGAACCAAGAAGAAGTTCCTCATAGTTTGGGGCATTCATTGCGTGCCCTGTAGAGTCTCAGTTGGGACGCAAGGAACCTGCTGCCTCATGATTAATACAAATACTGGACATCTATGGAAAAAAGCTTCATATCTCATCGGATTCCTCCAATATAAATAAAGATCTTGATTCCTAATAATGTATGTATGTATGTTGAACTACTTTCGCACTGTCCATAGTGAACTGCGCTAATTGGAGGTGCATCAAACAGAAACTTCGGAGGCAGACAACGGCTTACCAGAAATTGAGAATATGCCGGAAAGGCACCCGACGTAAATAGATAAACAGAACGCAACAAATAAAACTCCAACCGCAATACGGTCCACGCTAAAGAAGCTGCATCAGGTAGTGTGCGGTGTAGAGCTCTGCTAATCTTGTGTAATAATTTTAAACGCGCGTATTTGGCCTCGGAAGTGTAAGGGTGCTAGAAGTGGTCCTTTATGTGAAGCCGAATTTGTTAGTGTAAAACTCGTTATTGTTATACTTGTTATAATGAAACTCGATTTAAGATTTACACTCTGCAGTTGAGCGACGGCACGGGAGGCCTTCCATTGGCTAGTGGCGATCACGTGATGCTACAACAGTTGTGCCGTTAGACACAGTGGTGGAAGCCTCCTATTGGTCGAGAGCCAAACATGTGACTGCACAACGGCTTTACCGTTAGCCACCGTGCTGGAGGCATCCCATTGGTGTGTCACTGAGCACGTGGTATGACAGGCTCTAATTGACTGTACGACGGTTGTCAATTGGCTGTTTGTAGAGCGGATTTCATTTTGTGGAAGAGTTGTGTAAACAAGAGTGGCGGCTGCTGTTGAGGTGCAGATCCGCGGGACGTCTAGGCCAACTCTGGGGCCTTGGGCCGCTGGCTTCAACTCCCTGCGGCGGTTCATGTATTGTGTTAAGAAAACCTGTTCACGGCTCTAACCGGGTGCTGGAGGATTGTCTTCAATTGCATTGCGTGTGGTGGCAGTCAGAGCTGTCCCTAGGGTGTACAGTGAATTGAGGCGATGGCCCCATGCTTTGGGGGGCCCCCTGCGCTTCGACGTCACAGTGTCACGTGTAATACAGTCTGTTCTCCTATTACGCGTGTTTGCATAACGCAAATTGGATATAACGTGGTGAATGTGTTCAGGGAACAATTTTTTTTTACAACGGGGATGCGAATTGGCTATAATGCGATCGACTGAATGGAACTACGTCGCGTGAGAAGGAAAAGCGGTTGTGTGGCTACCTCGGCGTAGCATCCCACAAGGCGGGATGCTGCTGGATGCTTCATGATGCTACCCACACGCCTCAAGTCTTTGTTCAGCCTGCGTATGCATCTCACTCGTTATTGCAGACTCTGTTTTAATTTATATTATTTATTTTCACGCGATTTTCCCATAATGCGGTGTTTTTCAAGAACGCAACTACTACCCTGTTATCGGAGGACAGACTGTGTAGTTCTGTTTCGATTTAAAGCTTTCGTGACTGCAAGGATTCATCTTCTTTGGTTCTTTCGGTAAAGTCACGTAGAATGAGAATAAAATAATAAATTTATAAAATAAAATAACACAATAATATTCTCACAACGTTTCGGCCACAACACAAGCGGCCTTCATCAGGTGAAGGGGACGAGACTGTCTGGAGGACAGAGACTGTCTGGAGGACAGAGACTATCTGGAGGACAGACAGTCTCGTCCCCTTCACCTGATGAAGGCCGCTTGTGTTGTGGCCGAAACGTCGTGAGAATATTATTGTGTTATTTTATTTTATCAATGTATTATTTTATTCTCATTCTACGTGACTTTACCGAAAGAACCAAAGAAGATGTGTAGTTCTGCTTTAGTTTAAAGGCATTAGGGGCAGCCCACACGGTTTGATAATTTTCTCTGGGCCCCACACCCCCCCGAAGGATTGCCCTGGTTGCAATTCTAAAGCTGGGTGCAGCGCAAATCTGCGTTGCATAGTTTTACGAATCCATGGGACCTGTGCTTCGAAGCATCCACGTGATTTGTCTCATCGCTGTCCATGCCCCCTTTTGTTATTTCACATTTATCTTAACTCTGGTTTACCACGTAGGCTTTCGCAACCAATATTTCTCTCCAACACACCGCTGTGTAATTCTTGAGTTTATTGTTTTGTAACGTGTGACATATTCATGAAGTGTGCGAGCTGTTAATTAAGCGTAAATATAATTCACCTTATAGTAAAGGATTGTACTTTCATTATATAAATAACAATGTTTATTGGAGGATGTGCAGAATTCCAGACATTCCTCATAAGCAAAAAGGCTTTTCCAAATTAGTCAGGCACAGGGAGGTTTAACTTTTGTAATAAACATTTCTCGAGAATATTAACTGACCTCATGAATATGAATGCTTAAACATAGAACCTCATAATAAGATGCATACTCTCTTTGTGGTTGATATGCTTTAAAAAAAATAAATCTAAATTCAAACTATTTTTTATTTGACCAGGTAAGGACCACTGAGCTACATAGCTCTTTTTTCGAAGTGACCTGGCCACAACGGATAGCTCAACGAAAAGTGGCTTGTCATGTGGACATTTATTGCACCAAAATACTCTAAAACACATGTTTCTAAATGTGGAGGGAAAAACCGGAGGACCTGGAGAAAAATCCCAGTGGCATTTAACAAATTGAGATCAATATCTTGCAACTGATGTCCTATACCTAAGTCTAAACTGAATGTTGAATGTCTATTTCCTTATCCCGTGTCCGTGTAGGTGTCTTTACTTGACTCAGGAACTCACAATGGCTCCTGCTCCGTTTTTCTGTCCAAATCTCCACGACTTTTGACATTGAATCAGGTGAGTTGGGGTTAGAGTCATGGGGCTGGTGCTAGAGGAAGGGCTAGTATTAGGGTTAAGGGTAGTGGTAACATTATCGGTTAAGATTTGTATTTATTTGCCCTTAAATATAGAGTGTCTCCGACGGCTTAAAAGGTAGGGGTTCAGCTAAAATTAAACTAAACTTTTTATTTTGCCAGGTAAGGCCCACTGAGCTATACAGCTCTTTTTCAGAAGTGACCTGGCCACAAATGAAAGCTCAACGAAGTGGCTTTTCACGTGGAAATTTATAGCAGCCAAACACTCTAAATGCACGTTTCTGAATATGGAGGGAAAACTGGAGGACCCGGAGAAAAATCCATATGACTATTGGGAAAACATGCAAACTCTAAAGAACGGATGTCAGAGTCGGGATCGATCCCACGACTTCCTGTATACCAGGCAAGGTAGTTAACATTTCGCCACCGTGACACCCATAGAGGGTAGGGCTATGACTTTGAATGGTAGTAGTGTGAGTGTTTGAGGTGTTGCCATCTACAATGGCAGGGGCCTGTAGCCCGCATGCCCAGCCACCGCATGCCGAAACAGATTTTGTTCGACCGGATCGATGGGGCTAAATGGGCGTGGCACGGGTTAGAGAAGAGATGGAGTGATGTGGTACAGGAGGACGTGGAGCTGAGTGGACTTGCCGATGACTGGTACCAGTTGTGTCAACATCGGCCTCTGTGGAGGAGGCTCGTGAAGGATGCTACTGGGCAGTTGGAGGCAGTCGACCTCCAACAACAACGGAGGGCGGAGGAGCGACGCTCACAACGAGCGGAACCCCGGGTGGCTAAAGCACAGCAGGTTGGCACAGTAGGGGGCACAGGTGGTGCATCAGCCAGTCATCTCAGTCATCTCAGTCAGTCGACCCGTGGCACCTGGGTCTCTCCCGTGACCTGCCCGCGGGCGTTCGACACTTCACGTGGCTAAATTTTGATTTAAAGCTTTCGTGACTGCAGTAATTCATATTCTTCGCTCTTTCGGTAAAGTCACGTTGAAGGGAAACAATAAAATAATAAAATATATATAAAACAATAAAAATTCTCACGACGTTTCGACCATAACACAAACGGTCGTCATCAGGTGTGTCGGTTTGCATAAATTTATTTATTTTTAAACGGTGTATTTATTTATAAAAAACGTCAGCGCCACGCGCAGCGATTTGGCAGTTTATTTAGAAGGACGAGTCCATCTATGTTCTGAAAAGAGGAGGGGGGAGACGAAAAAATTAATGTATGCTGTCTGAAAGCCACTGTAAGCGTGAACAATCAATTAAGACCTGAAATGATTTATCAAATCTTTCCAATGATTGCTAAGCCAGAATCCATCTTCTCGGTTGAAATTGTCTCTGTGCTTGTATATGTGGATAGCCTCATGAACAAATCTCTCATGGTAGCTAGATGGCTTACAAAGAACCTCTGTCTTGAAAAAGTCAATGTCATGTGAGCCTACTGAATTATAACAATGATCTGCCACGGCCGAGGTGTTGGTCCTACCGTGTTTAAGGTCTGCTTTGTGTTCACGAATGCGGTCCGAGACATGGCGTTTGGTTTCTCCAATGTAACTACTACCACAGAGGCAACTTAGTTTGTAGACACCAGGGTACTGTATGTCCGGAATCACATCTTTTACAGACAGAACCAGATCACGGATTTTATGCAATGTGTTGAAACGGACCTGGATCTTGTGTTTATTCAAGATTTTCGAGATCTTTTTTGTGATCCCCGCAATGTAGGGTAAAGTGATGGTTTTGAAAGGCTCCTCAAGAGGGTCCTTCTTCATGGTTTGAGTGATAGCTTTGCGGATTGTATAATCGGAGTAACCATTAGCCTTAAGAGCTTGGTGTACGTGCTTGAGTTCACTGCCTATGTGTTCCTGGTCGGATATGCATTGGGCTCTATGATACAGAGTCTTGATGAGAGAGTTCTTCTGTGATGGATGGTGGTGGGAATCCGGTTTCAGATAAGCATTCGTATGGGTAGCTTTCCTGTAGACAGAGTGGCTCATTGAACCATCAGGTCTCTTTTTAATTAGGACATCCAATAAAGGTAGCTTGCCATCTTTTTCGACTTCCATGGTAAATCTGATGGCTGGGTGTATGGAATTGATGTGATCGAAGAATTGATCTAGAACAGGCCGGCCATGTGGCCAGATGACAAAAGTGTTATCCACGTACCTCTTCCATAAGGTTGGGCGCAGAGTGGCAGTCTGGATGGCGTCAGTCTCAAATTTCTCCATGAAAATGTTAGCTATAACCGGAGATAGGGGGGAGCCCATTGGGGTGCCCTCAGTTTGTTTGTAGAAAGTTCCATTCCAAGTGAAGTATGTAATGGTTAAACAGTGTCTCACCAGGGGGGTACCTCAGTGTTTAGTCCTTGATGAACCAAGTCTTCAATGATTGCGATGGTGTCAGGTACAGGAACCTTGGTGAATAAGGAAACTACATCAAAACTGACAAGCAGGTCGTCTGGGGACAGGGAAATACCCTTGATTGTCGATACCAGGTGAGTAGAATTTTGTACCGCAGAGGTGGTTTTTCCAGTGAAAGGACGCAGGATTTCAGACAAAAAACGAGCCAGTTTGTAGGTGGGGGAGTTGATAGTAGAGACGATGGGACGAAGGGGTGTATCTACTTCATGTATTTTTGGTAAGCCGTATAATCTTGGTGGCCTGGCAGCAGAAGGTTTCAACGAAAACGGTTTAGATTGATCAATGCGGTTGAATCAGAAATTATTTTGTTGGTTTGTATGACAAGGCTGTTGGTGGGATCTCTTTTTATTTTTGTATAACTACCATCGTCGAGTAATTATTTACTTTTGTTGTTGTATTCTATTTTATCCATGATGACAGTAGCATTGCCCTTGTCAGCTGAGAGGACTAATAAATACACCGTTTAAAAATAAATACATTTATGCAAACCGACACACCTGATGGCGACCGTTTGTGTTATGGTCGAAACGTCGTGAGAATTTTTATTGTTTTATATATATTTTATTATTTTATTGTTTCCCTTGAACGTGACTTTACTGAAAGAGCTAAGATTATACTTCACGTGGCCTCAAGGTGCACTTGGCCTGGCACAAGCGTCGTGGTGACGTCACCACCACTTAGTTGCGAATGGGGGTTGTTGTTGCCATCTCCAAAACATCTCTCCACCTCCCCTCGCAGGACAACCCTGGCCCTGGTTACTATGATGTGAGTGAGGTGGTGAGGACAAAAAAACGGGCACCCCATCGTACTCGGACTTCAACGCCTTTGCCCAGCTCACTGCTGTACAGGTCTCCAGTGCCCAGAGAGCAGGGCACTCCAGGTGGGAATTCACTTACGAGACACCAACTCGTTTCACTCACACACTCGCACACTCACGCACTTGCTTGCTCACTCACCTATTTAATAACTAAATCAGTTAGTGTATCAACGACCTACTCACTTCCTCACTCAATCAGGAAATGGCTTGCTTACCCACCCACCCATTCCATAACTCACTTATCCACTCATAAACTCACTGAATGATAAGTCATTGACACAACCACTCAATCACACACTCATTACCCACTCATACACCGACTTACTACTTTTTTCTCATGAACATCTAATTGTATATTTATTATCGTGTGATATTGTCCACCTCTGACCATTTACCCAGGCCCTGGCCATTATGAACTGAGGCCTCAGGCTTGCCCTCGCCTGACTCTGCTGGTGTCCCGTGAGGACCGCTTTACTGAGCGATCAACCCCGGGCCCAGGGCCTGGAGAATATGAGGTACAGACATTAGCACATCACCTGACTCACAACCGTGTTATATATACACACACACGGAACTTACTGCATTCACCAATAGCATAGCTTTATTACGTGATTATAAATAACATATCTTCTTCCCGTGCATCCATCTACCTCCCTGTGCCTGCCTATCCCACATGTCTGCCTTCTCCCCGATTCCTTCCTTATCTTGTACCCCTCCTATTCCCCATGTCTCCCTCCTCCCCGTGTCTCCACTTGTCTGCCCTCTCCTCCCCTGTTCTCCCTGTGTCTTTCTCTTCTCTTCTCGCTGTGTCTTCTCATCACTACATCTCCTCATTCTCACCCCCTTGTCTCCCTCCTTTCCTGCCTCGGGTCATCCGTCTCCCCTCTCCTCCCCGTGTCTCTGCCTGTCTCAGTGTGCCCCCCTTCCTCGTTCTCAGTCCTTTAATGTGACCCTGGGAGCAAAGATTCCACTGAAAATGAACACTCGGTGAGGAAAATTCATTCACCTGCTCACCATACTCACTCACTTGCCCATTGATTCACCAGTTTACTGATTCACTCCATCACTCACGCACTCACTCATCCACTCCCTCAATTGCCCACTCATCCTACTCATCTTATCACCCAACTGCTTATCGACCTACTCACTCAATCCTCGTGTTTACTCCATCAACTCATTAATTTCGCGCATTGCATGTTTTTCTCTTTATTAACAAACTCATGCACAACACTCACTTCCCACATTCAAACATTTCCTCACTCACCATACTCACTCAATTAATTTATAATTTCAGTTACTCACACCGTTCCATCAATCGCTCACTCATCCAAAAACCCATCCACCTCACATGCATTAAATTACTGACCGACTCAATCACACAATCACCCAGTAACCTTACTTGACCACAGTCACTCAATTATGAAATCTCCACAATCGTCCATAACACTATGGCCTAGAAAAATAGAAACAGGAACGTTTCAGGCGATGACCCTTCTTCATAGCACATAGAGAGACCATAGATACAAAGTGGATAATTTATACTGTGGAACTTTGGGTAGTAAATGTTATTTTCTAATTGCTTATGCCTTAAAAGTACAGAAAAGGGCTATTATTCCCCACAAACTTTGCTTTTGTGACCAGGACACAAAAGCAAAGTTAATAATCCACTCCATTAATAACACTGTGTAACAAATTTATAAAAACAATTGTTCCTGGGTAGTAAGTGTTATTGCCTAATTGCTTATGCCTCAAAAGTACAGAAAATGGCTATTATTCCCCACAAACTTTGCTTTTGTGACCAGGACAGTGATATTTTGAAATTTACCTATTTTCAATGAGAAAACATGGTGTGCATTTGTGTCATTCCTTCACATAAAGTCCTGGTCACAAAAGCAAAGTTTGTGGGGAATAATAGCCATTTTCTATACTTTGAGAAATAAGCAATTATAAAATAACACTTACTACCTAGGAACAAAAATCGTGTTACATAGTATAACCAAAGTTGGAGGCTGCAATTGTTCACACCATGGGGCATGCTGAGAATTAAATGTAAAATTTCTCCCTGATGAACAGTTTTAATTTGGCATCTGAATTGTTACCTAATAATAGCTCCCGAGTAACCAATAAACCCTTTAATAATCGCAAATGTATTCCTAAATAATCTCAATTATGTAAAAAGGTAAATATAAAAAATGCTGCTGGTACATTGCATGATGGGTAGAACTGTTAAGCTCAATGTGTAATCCACTTCGGGATTCTGGGCCCAATTCCCATCAATAGGGTTAGGGGAGCTCTCAAGAAATGAAATGGTCAAAGGAATCAGAGGGCTGAGCCTTGCACCTGTGTTAGGTGCATGCACTGGTGGGTCAGGCCAGGGCACACGAAGGGATGGGTGGCAAGCGTCACACACGGCCACCTTTGTCGCCCCATTGGTGATGTTTAGACATCATACCGGGTCTTCATTTGAGGCTGAGTCAACCCTAGGGGAGGCCCAGGACCGATTCAGATAATCGTCACTGGCGCTTGTGCCAGGCTATGTGCACTTTAAGGTCACGTTAAGTATCGAACGCCCACTGGCAGGAGGTCACAGGATAGACTCAGGTGCCATGGGTTGACTAACTGAATTGACTGACAAATGCACCACCTGTGCCCCCTACTGTGCCAACTTGCTGTGATTTAGCCGCCCGGCGCTCCGCTCGTTGTAGTGACCGTAGCCCCTCTGCCTTCTATTGTTGCTGGAAGGCGGCTGGTTACAACTGCCCAGTAGCATCCTTCAAACACCAACTGAAACACATATACTGTATGCTACCAATACACCACTCACACATTTACACACATTCTCAATAAATGACCACATATGTAGATACATAAAAACTATGGATGTATACACGCACTCACACTTTATCTTTCTGTGCATCTCAGATCTCCAGGGCACGCGATTGAGCCTTGAAATCAGGCGTCTTGAAGGTCATTAATTCCCGATGCAAGATGAACCACAACAGTAATCAACATTAGCTTTTGTGATCCTACCAATTAAACAATTGGAATATAACTTTTTTGAGCATGTGATGATCATAATAATAATTATAATTAATCATTGTTTAACCAATATAATTTTACATTATAACGTAATTTTACTTGAAAAAGATGTATAATCGACTGTGTGTGTATTGTGTGTATGCATGAGTGCATACACACAATGGGACAGTGGTTAGCACGTTGTGCTATAAGCCCAGTAACCTGAGTTTGATTCATGGCTAAGTCGAACTTTACTGGAAAGCTATATCTAATCCGGTTCTGAGCCTCCCCTATGTCGACTCAGCCTCAAATGAGTACCTGGTGGCAATGTAAACCTCACCACGAGGGAGACAAAGGTGGCCGGATGTAGGGTCAGTCACCCACCCCCTCCATGTGCCTTGCCGGTCTTCATAAATTCCCCCTAACAGAATTTCTCCGAAAGTCTGTTCAGGGCTACACGGGGGATCTTTGTGACTATCTCTGTGTCTGTGCAGCACCACAATGTGTGGCAGTCTTCGTCATTGCAAGGTCCCCCGGGCCACTCGCGGCCCCGACAATATACCAAAGTTAAAACACCCCCACCATCATCGTGCTGCTGTCAAACCCCCAATGGTTTCAAATGTGTGGCAACCCTCAATACTGATGATGTCTTATCAACGAAAGTGGCCCCCCTCTGAAAATTAGTGAAGAACACTCATATATGGTGACGTCATCTCCTCTGGTGTGCACATACATTGGGTTATGGGTGCGGTCAGTTTTGTTAACTTTTTAATAAAAAAAAGCAAGTAAAAAAATGTTTCTGCACGTGCGAGTTTTCTGTGTGTGTATGTGGAACTTCTTCCGCTCTGTACATAGCCAACTGTGCTAATCGGAGGTGAGGGGGAAGGACAACAAACTCCAAACAATAAGCAGCTCTAGAAATATTAGTGATCACCCGAACACCACGTCAAAACAAAAAAACATAAACTTGCACTCGCTAAAAAAGTTTTGCAATTGGATAAGTTCTGGGAAATCTGATACCACATTAAACAGATGTTGTTGGTGGTGGTGTAGGTGTGTGAGTTTGTAATCAGAAGATTGATATAACAGATCAGAATTTTAATTTATCCCGGAGGATTCCGATGAGCTATGAAGCTCTATAGAAGTCCCACCGTGCTGGCCACTGTTGTATATGTCGGTTATGAAAATTTGATGAAAATAATAAAAATGAAATGAATTTTAAAAAATTGCGTAATTATCCGAAATTGTGTTAATTGATGTAAGTATGCACATAAATTATGTTAATTCAAGATATAATCGTATTAATTTATGCGAGTGTGTGTGATTATGCTAAAACGAGCCGTTATGATAATTAGGCCCCGCCTCGCTGACGAGGGTCGTATCATCAATCGGGAGAATACTATTAATCGTATTAAGTTATGCAGGTGTGCCGTAAGTATGTCAGATTAAACTCGGCTTCATTGTCTAGGTTCGTATTATCAATCGGTAAAATACAATTATTCTCGCTTTTAACATTTACTGATTGTATTAGTGTGTTTATGTCAGGTCTCCAAATTCAATCTCAACGCAGAATACAGTTCTTGTAAATGAGATTATTATGCATGGACTTCAGGACAGAAATACGCAACCGCTTCTGCGTTAATCAATTGTATTCTAAACGAAACTTTAACGTTATGATATGCGAACCCTCAAGCTTGGAATTTTCAACACAGCATCAACCCAGCAAACATCAACGATTGCGTTGTTTCACTTTGGCAACCGCACATATGATTAATTCCACCGCGTAACGCGAGCTTAATTGGTGATAGAGAGAGTCGTTAAAACATGCATGCACGCTATTCTAAACAAAAACCTTAACACTATAATATGCAAATTCGTATACTTGAAATTGGCCACACAGTACTGCACTCGTTCATTGATCCATATGCAACCCTCAATGCACTTCTTGTCACGTTGTTAACAGGGTAGCAGGACCATTGATTATTATGCAGAGTAACCTGAGCCGGTACGGAAATTAGGAGTGAAAGGTCCTTAATATTATGCAACGATATTCATACGAAAGGGCAATCAAACAATTATTATTTCCAAAGGCACAAATATACGTCAATAGATTCATCGACAAGATTGTATAATTGAAGAAATGGCTTGGAGTAAGGGCGTGCGATGGTGTACGTTTCTTTCATGGGAGATTAATTCATGGACAAGATTGTATGATAAGGAAACCAGGTTAACCCGATATTCTCCTCGTGAGCGTAGCTCCGTGGCAAAGGTGTCAAGGATTAATTCGTATTGATGAATCTATTCGTAATTTATGCAATTAGAAGTACAACCCAAAACAAAAGAATTAAGAAGGAAAAAAAATATTACTGTACTTATAAACGACGGATTGTTATCACTCGGTCTGCCGCGATGCCTTCACGGCCACTGATTGTTCATGTACTTGAGGATTAGACTTCTTGTTAATGATTTGTGTATGTTTTGAGTCATATGGATTGGGTTGACGCGCTCTTCTTGGGTTCGCTGAATCTTTTGCTCATGGGCGGCTGGTCAGGTTCTTTCCGCTGCTGGATGAGCCAAGTCGGCACATGCTTGGCCGCTGGCAGCAGATGCTCTTGCTTGGTGGCGCTGGTTGCGCTGCAGCTGGAAGCTGGCACTCGATGTAGAAATAAAAGTCTTTGAGCGATACTTCGTCTTTCAGCTCTGAACTCACGCTCGTTGATACATCGCTACTCGGCGAGCTTCGCTATTCTCAGTTGATCGTGGGGCCCTTTGGAGCCAGCCGCTCGCCGCCCTCTTCTGTAGCTTGCCGAGCTGTGCTGAAAGTGTGTGTCGTGCTGCTGTTATATCTGAAAATCTCCGCTCTGCGTTGGTGGGGGTGTGTCCGTGTGTGCGTGTGTGTGTGTGTCCGTGTGTCTGACAAAACAACCCCCTACCTCCTCGCGGTGCCGGACGGGCAACTCTGTCGTGGACAGTGCTGTGGGGGGAGGTCCAATTGTGATTGGCTCCTCCCCTCATGGCATATGTGTCCACCACAGGGGCTAAACGGGGGCTCTGGATGGGTGTGAGGGGCTGGTAACCCCTCCACCTTCAATTAATTACCACTAAACTGCGAATTAAGTATATAACTAATAAGCTTGTGCCGGAGGCCCCGGGGGGCCAGGCGTCTATGACGTCTCCTGGCCAAACCCCAATTGGCGGAGCCAGCAGATTGAATATCTACCCTCGGGGCTCCTCCAGAAACAATGAAAAACCACTACGGGTGGCCACGTGGAATGTTCTAACGCTCACTGCGGAGGAGAGGCTGCCACTCCTCTGTCGGGAGCTGGACCGGTACCGCCTGGATCTATGTGGCATTCAGGAGGTCCGGTGGACCGGCTCTGGCTCCTGCCACCATGAGGGGTGGACAGTCCTCTACTCGGGGCAGCAGACTGCCAAACAACAGGGTGTAGCTCTTCTTTTGAACAAAAGAATGAAGGGGGCGTGGGAGCGTGGCGGTGAGATGTGGGAAGCTGTAAGCCCCAGGCTACTTTGGGCTCGCCTTCCCATCAACCGGAGGCGAGGAATGGTGGTTGTGGTTACTTATGCCCCCACCGAAGATGAACATCCGTGGAGGGATGTAGGTAAAGCCGATGAGTCAGATGACTTCTATGACCTCCTGTCACAGGTGCTGGCTAAAGTGACTTCAATGCCCGAGTTGGTCATGATACTGGCACCTGGTCTGGAGTGATTGGAGGGCATGGGCCAGATCAGCTCAATAACAACAGTAGGAGGCTGCTAGATTTTTGTGCAGCCCATGGGCTTGTAATTACCAACACGCTGTTCCGGCATCGGTGCATCCACACAACATCATGGATGCATGCCGGGTCCAAGCAAGAACATCTGCTGGACTACATAGTGACGGACCAGCGGATGCGAGCCCATGTCCTTGACACCAGGACCTACCGTAGAGCTGATCTGCCCTCTGACCATCGACTAGTCATCTGTAAGATGCGCCTGCCATTCTTCCACTCCGGTGGTGGGTGTACACCCAGGACACCATTCCAACCTAAAGTGGCCTGGTCTCAGTTATCTGATGAAAGTTGCAAGCGAGAATTTCATCATCGCTTGCGGCTGGGATTGGCATCGTCCCCGACTCCTCCTGATGTCGAGGGTAAATGGGCGAGGTTTATGACTGCGACTCATGCAGCTGCAATGGCTGCTTTGGGTATGCGGTCCAGACCTCCCCAGAGACCCTGGCTGACAGAGGAGGTGTTCAGGATGGTTGAGAAAAAGCGACAGGCCCACTGTCATCAGCTACAGAATCCCACGTCAGAGAATGAGGAGGCTTACCACAGCCTTCGCTCGGAGGTTCGGAGAGCCGTGAGGCGCTGCAAGGATGGGTGGTGGTCGCGGGTTGCTCAGGAGATGGAGTCTGCCTCAGTGGCCCGTGATCACAAATCTCTATTTAACTCCATCAAAAAAGTAATATGCAGCGCCACACTTATTACCATCATCAAGGGAAAAAACGGTGACCCAATCTCCGACCCCCAGGAACAGGTTTGCAGATTTGCTGAGCATTTCTGTGAGGTCCTGGGGGAGGGAAAATCCCTCAGCCAGGAAAACATCGTGGCACAAAGGAGGATGACCCTGCTGAGGCTGCGGTGCCTCAAATATTGGAAAAAGTCACCCCCTGTGAGTGGCTGGCTGAGGTCCCATCTGTTGAGGAAGTACTGAAGGTGATCCGGAGTCTGAGACAAGGAAAGTCAGCGGGCAGAGATGATCTCCCAAGCGAAATGCTGAGGGAGGGCGGCGTTTGTGCACAGACTGCCCTATATGACATCATAACAACAGTCTGGACCACTGGACGGGTTCCGCAGGATTGGAAGGATGCCCTGGTGGTCCCCCTTTTTAAGAAGGGGGACCGCACAGACTGTAACAACTACAGGGGCATCTCACTCCTCAGTGTGCCGGGAAAGGTCCTGGCAAGGATTGTTCAACATCGCCTTGCCAGGCACGCTTAGGAGAGGCTTGTGGAGCCCCAATGCGGTTTCAGGAAAGGGCGGTCCTGCACAGATGCCATATTTTTTGTCCGTCTGCTACAGCAGAGGTGTAGGGAATTCCAACAAGACCTACATCTCTGCTTTATTGACCTGGTCAAGGCCTATGATACCATCAGTTGGCCTGGGCTGTGGGTTGTTCTTCGTGCTTTTGGAGTACCTGACCCTCTGCTCACGATCATTAAGGACCTTCATGATGGTGAGCGGGCCCGGGTAAAACTACGTGGCCGGGAGTCAGAGGGATTCCCTGTACACCTTGGGGTGCGACAGGGATGTCCTCTGGCTCCCACATTATTTAACATCTATTTTGACCACGTAGTTCGTGAAGCCTTTAATAGCTGTACCGGGGGAATCTCCATATGGTACAGATATAATGGGAGGCTGATCGATGCCCAGGTGCGGGGTCAAGGGATGGCTCCCTATTGCTCAACCACGTTATGTATGCTGATGATTTGGTAATAGCTGCTCATTCAGTGGAGGAGTTGGAGACGCTGCTGCTGAGACTGGAGCGTGCCACTAAGAGGTGGGGCCTTACCATCAGCCCCACCAAAACTAAGCACCTGCCTGGGTATTTTGTACCATCGGACACTCCACCCCCACAACTCCCAATCGGTGATGGGGCAGTTGTGGAGAGGGTGGAGAGTTTCCCATACCTGGGCAGTGTGCTTATGACTGGCTCCAGTTTAACAGCAGAGGTCTCACTCCGAATCAGTCGAGCGGCAATATCTTTTCATCGGTTGCGTAACGCTGTGT